TGTTGTTAATTGTTGTGTCATAGCTGTTCCACAATATTTCATAAATTCATTTGGTATCCCGTCTTTACCTACTGCTTTTCGATTCTTCAATTTTTCAAGCATTTTACAAACCCCCTGTTTATCCCTGGTGTTTCCGGTTCTAGCGTCGTTTGTTTTTCCTCTGCGTAGAGCTTTCTTAGGTAGTTAAACCATGTAGTCTTTAATATGTGTTTTGGTTCTATTAGTTCCTTTATCTCCGTTCTTTGACCTCTTATAAACTGTCATATTTCCTTTTGCAGACCATAAAAATCATGTTCCATTCCTTTCGAGAAGCGTTTCCAGTAATAATTTCTTATTTATCTGTCAAGTGCTTGTATGTCGTTTCTTATTGTCTTGTAAGTTCTTCGCCTTGGGAACGGTATATTTTTATTTATGTTTCTTTTACCGAGGTTAAGATATTAGACCTAATTTTTGCCCAGTTTTTCTGTTTTTTTCTATTACTCTGTTTTGGAACAGTTATCTAGTGGAGTCATCCTGAAAGTTTTCGAGTTTTATCTTTGTGGTGTATTCTGGTGTTTTGATATCACAAATGTGTTTTTATTCAGATTTTGCACAATACCAATTTATTATCGCTTTCTATTTCTGCTGATGTTAGTGCTATTACATCCAAGATTTGAGAGGAGTGTAACTCTCTAGTCGACAGAATGTAGTCTATCATAGATATTTGTCCTCTAGTGTTTTCAAAAGTGTATTTGTAGTGTTCTTAGTGAGAGAAAAATGTATTAATACGTATTTGGTTTATACTCCAAAGGTCTATCAGAAGGTCTCCGTTTTCATTTTTGATATGTTCATTATATCGCTGTTTTATTTCTGAAACTATATCATTACCACACGGGCATTAAATCACCCATAATGATTTTATATTCATCATTTGGGTTCACGTTTATTACAGTCTTAAGGTGTTCGTAGAAGTTTTCCCTTGTGGTGGTATTTCTGTTGTGCTCTGGCGCATAGATTGCTATCACATTCACAGATTTGACACCCAAATTAACTTTTACACTTACTAGTTTCTCAGAGATATATAAACATTTTTGTACTTGGTGTAAACAATTTCAAGACATATAGACAATATAAATAAATCATTATGGTATTGCCAAAAAAAGGAAATACTAGAAGAGACATAAAGAATAGGGTTCAACAAGCGAAAAAGTCGACTTGCACTTTAAATTCCATTTATATGGTCTAAGAATATTATGTTACAAACAAAAATGACAATCTATCAAACACTAGTAGAGCCTATTTTGACATATGGGTCAGACTGTTGCCAGCTTTCACATAGAGATAGAAAGAAAATAAAGCTCGCTAAAACTCAGTCCACAGCCAGAAATGGATGAGTAAAACCGATAAGTTCATGGCAAGATGGTATTTGGCGAGTCATGAGAAATAGATGAGAGTCCAAATCCAAATTTGGAAGAGAAAGACTGGAGAGATAGAGAACGATGGCGATCAAAACGCGGGAAGCGGCAAGGGTCCTCGTTTATACTTTCTATAAGCCAAGTTTGTCCTTTATGTTTATAATAAGTTTACCGTCAAACTCTTTGATTATTCCAAATTCAATCATTTCTTCGTATTTATTAATCCATTTATGAATTCCTTTATTATGTTAAAACTATAGTATTTTCTGTTACACTGTTCTATTTCATTGCATTGATCTGTTAACAACTTTTTGGGCTTCTTTACGTTTAATTTTATTTTTATTTGTAATAGGGTTTCACTCAGGACAGGCTCTTGTCTCGTCCTGTGTCCCGCACTTTTTCATCTGTTCCGTCCCGCGTTTCGTACCACATCTATTTTAACTGTCCCACAAAGATAGCTAAAACTATATTTTTTTAATAAGTAAATATATTTTTATACGAATGGTAGATATAAAGACAAAATTAATATTTAAATTTTTTCTAAGCATATTTTGTTTTTAAAAATTGTCTGAATAATTAAACATCAAAATTATATTATTAGACAAATTTAATAATTACTTCAGTTTCTAGAAGTAACAACTTTTCTTGTACATGTGATATATTATTTTGTTAACATTTCTATTTATTTTGAGTTTCTCCCGTTTAAATTGTTTTGGCCCCTATATACTATACAGCATTATTAACGCAACAATTCAATTAGAAGTTTTCCATTTTTTATTGGTGTATGTTTATAAAAAATTTAGACCAAGACGGGGAAGTAAAAGATGCTCTTCCTTCTAATTTATTATTTTTTATTATTATTTATAACTTTTGGTTAGATTGAAAATCGCTGTGAGCTTTCTTATTTTAAATGGAATGTTAAAATTCTATGTATAATTTTGAAGTAATATTATTATTAAATTATATTGTTTAGGTATGTAACATGTTTATTATTTTTATTTTAATTGCCTATTGATTTACAATTTGCCTGAATTTACACTGAAAAGCCAACGATTGTCCTTATTGTTAAAAATAAAGGTACCTACCTCCGTTACTCTTTATAAAATTAATATTTTTTGACAAATTGCGTAAAAGACTGAAAAAAATTATTATCTGATAATTGTATTTAAGGCTTAAGATGATGCAGAACTTTATAAAGAATAATTTTTTTCATAAAACTAAAAATAAAAAATAAAAAAGTTCCATTTAGTGCTGACTTAATTTGAGAGATACATTGTAGATATAAGTATAGGTATGATCGAAACACCAGACACACGTGAACAAAACAGTGATTATTTTAATTTCCATTTATTTTACAAATCTAAATTTATAAATATCTACAAGTCTTTCTTCCTGTTCTAATACCGCTAAAATCCTTTGTGGGTCTTGCTTAACAACTTTCTTTCATTCTGACCTGTCAGATACTTTCCTTCGCCACTATCTTATGTTCTGGTTTTAAGATATTCCTCTACATCGTCTATCCACCTTTTACGCCTACGGGGCCTTCCTCTTGTCCCATTTCCCTGGGGTTTCCATCTCTGGATTACTTTTACAGCTCGATTATCTGGCATTAATTAGTTCAGCTCATAGTTCATTTTTATTCTCCACGAACCATCGCTACAATGGATTGGTCCAAATATCTCTCTCAATATTTTGCGCTAAAATATTCTTAATTAATTTTTATCAGTGGTTAAACGGATCCAAGTTTAACACCCATATGTGACCACTGGTGTAATTACTGTTTTGTCGATTCGACTTTGTGCACTCGCATATATTTTGTTTTCTTTTCATTTATATTTAGACCAAATCCAACGGCGTCCCGTTTCAGTCTACAGCTTTATCGTTTAATACCCTTCTATTGCGGCTTATTATGGCAACATCATCAGCATATACACAAATTTGAGTGGATCTTGTACTAATACAGTCGTTCGTATCTAGTTTTCCGATAGTAGCTTACAAAGTTGGATTAAAAAGTAAAGGCATCCTCTTGCCTAACTCAATTTTCAATATCAAATGCTTCTGTCATATCCTAATCTATCCTCACCATGACCTTGGAACCCTTAAAAGTTATTTACATAAGTTTAACTAACTTATATATCTACGAGTATTCTTTTATTAAATTAAAAAACATTTTATGTTTTGTCCATGACTGGTCATCGCAGCCACTGAATCCTCGCTTAGCTGGCTCCTTTTGTTTTCCCAAGGCCAAGACGGCTCTGGAGAAAAGCCTTTCTGCTGAGACGGACGTAGCTGGAATTGATAGGATATCCCTGGCCAAACGACCTAGGGTAGGAAATTTATCCTGATTGACTTTCCACCAAGATACGATGTCCACGATTCTTTATTATCATTCTTCTGTTAGATATCGCTCCAGGTCGTCGTCAAGGCGCTACCTTTTCTTGGACAGTGACAAGATTTACCGTAGCCGCCACTAGAGGATCCAATTTACTTGTTTGTTGCTTCGATGTTGAGGCCCATTTTTTCATATTTTTTATCAATTTTCTGAGTTTTGTCTTTATTCCTTGTTTCAATTAATGGCCGCATTCCGATAAATCAAAATCTTCTAATTGTGGAATCGATTACTAGAGAAATACCGTACACCCAATTTGATTTATTGTAGTATTTGACATTGTCAAAGACAGACTATATTGGTCTAGACATTGTTTTGATCAGTATTAATTTCAAATTTTTTTTTGTCATAGTCAAGTAATAAATTTATCAAGTATCTAATAAAACACTGAAATCTTTTGTTTTTAACACTAAGATTAAACACTTTGATCTCAGTTCAATATATTTTTTTCTATATCTAGACTTTTTGCTAATCATGTTTATTAGTTTCGATAATTTAAAGACCAAAGGTGATTGATGTAAGTTATTGATGTGCTATGAACTACCAAAACAAAAAATTTATGATACAAAATATGTCGTCTTTAAAGAATGTACGAAACTGCACAGGTATGGTTGTCTATTTAATATTAACAATAGCAATAAAATAGTGATCTCTTTTTCCATAAAAGAGAAATTATCATTTTATTCTAAAGACAGAGAGAAATAATAATAATTAATAAATTAATTTTTAGAAATATAGTAATACGAAGAAAAATAATAATTAATAATTGTATAAAAAAAGAATAATTTGTCAAAATAATAAACATAACAAAATTTACACATAAAAAAGCAAATAAAAACCAGTTATATAGGTACAATTAATGAACAGTTTGAAAGCTTAAAAACTTAACTGACTGTAATGCTCAATTACTAATCTAATTTTCTAATATAATTATTTTTCAAATACTAAACAACAATATCCATTTTCCTTCTAACGTTTGTTAACCACTTAATTCAACTTCCTGTAGAGTTTCTATTGTGGAATTCAGTCGATCGATCACTCCACCCCTCTACAGTCACATTTTCCATTCCAAACAACCCATTAAAAGCTCTATAGCAACAGCGCACGCAGTGTCTATTGGCCGCGTTGGTGGGCAGACGCTCCTCGAAGCCCCGCCTCGACGAGGAGGGATTTCGGTTACCTGTTCCTCTTTCGTTTTCCATTACCCAGTATTGTTAGGACAGTGCTAGCTGATTCATCACAATCAACCGCGACGCATCTGATAACGATCCGACGTTGAAATAGACCGTTTACAGCGAAAATTCCACCCCCACCCTATTTCAACCGAAGAAGACATCGTAATCAAGGTGGCACCGGTTGAAAAATTAGGCTCTAGTAGCCACCAAACTGCCAAGATGCTCGTGCCGCCGGATATGTTGGCCGCCCAGTCCAAGATGGTCTATCAGTTAAATAAATACTACACAGAAAAAGTGCAAACGAGAAAGTTACAGACTTCTAAAACGATACAAGAAGTGTGTCGGGTTGTCCAGGACGTGCTAAAAGAAGTTGAGGTTCAGGAGCCGAGGTTTATATCATCCCTAACTGACTACAATGGACGATTCGATGGTTTGGAAGTGATTTCACCGCAAGAGTTCGAAGTGGTTATATATCTGAACCAAATGGGAGTGCTGAACTTCGTCGATGACGGTACTCTACCCGGTTGTGCCGTGTTGAAACTCAGCGATGGAAGAAAAAGGTCCATGTCCTTATGGGTAGAATTTATTACAGCTTCCGGTTACCTATCAGCAAGAAAGATGCGGTCCCGATTCCAAACTCTAGTAGCTCAAGCCTGTGACAAATGTTCGTACAGAGACAGTGTTAAAATGATCGCAGATACCACCGAAGTGAAGTTACGAATACGTGAAAGATACATAGTACAAATAACGCCAGCATTTAAGTGTGCGGGGCTTTGGCCTAGAAGCGCGGCACATTGGCCTCTACCTCAAATTCCCTGGCCGCACCCCAATATCGTCGTAGAAGTAAAAACCGAAGGTTTTGATCTACTTTCAAAAGAGTGTATAGCGTTGCAAGGTAAACAATCAGCAATGGAGGGCGACGCTTGGGTGTTATCGTTCTTTGAAGCAGAAAATCGACTTCTACAAGGAGGCTGCCGTAAAAGATGTCTAAGTATTCTTAAAACTCTTAGGGATCGGCACTTAGATTTACCCGGAAACCCAGTAACTGGTTATCACATGAAAACATTGTTGCTCTACGAGTGCGAGAAACATCCTAGGGAATCCGAATGGGACGAATCCTGTATAGCTGACAGAATCAACGGCATTTTCCTCCAATTAATCTCCTGTTTACAGTGCAAACGGTGTCCTCACTATTTCCTCCCTAACTTAGATCTATTCAAAGGAAAATCACCAAGTGCTTTAGAAAACGCTTCGAAACAAGTGTGGCGATTGACAAGGGAAATGTTAACAAACTCGAGGTGTTTTGAAAAGTTGTAGTTGTTTTTACTGTAAGTATTTTTTAAATAAAATTTCAATCTTAAATTTATATACAACAAATGCCGATTTAAATTTATCTTGAAAACAATGTCAATTTTCAAGTTGTAAATTTCCGTCAAACAAATTTAAAGATAGATAATAAGGAAGACACAACAGAAAATAAAATTTATTAAATATTGACAAAATTTATTAAAAAGCAATCAAATTAACTAATTTAAAAATTAACTAATTAATCGTCCAAATCAAATTAAATATGTTAAAAAATGATTGTTTGTAATCAAATTAAATTATTCTATAAATTATTTTAAAATATACACATACACATACACATATGTCAAAAAGTATAACATTAATAATGCCAAATCAAATTAACTCAAAAAAATTGACACTTCAATTAAAATTTTTGTAGTTTAATTTAAAAATTCACAAACTAGTCATTTTTAATGTCTAATTCATTTCATAGTGGTGCATATTGTTTACAGAAAAGCTATCGGTGCCTATATAAGTCCAAAGAGATTGAGAGACAAACAATAAACAAAAAAATAACTGAGATAATTGACGAAAAAAATATTATAGGTTTAAAATAAATTTTTATATAATATACTATAATTTCATTCCATTCATCATTATTTAGACCACATGTCAACAGTCTTTTGGATTCTGTTTCCGTCGCTTAGAAACTAATTGCAACCATTGTAATGTTGCTAACCTATTGCTTGGTAATACATTGACGAAAAATTAATGGACCATGGAATAAAACAATATACAATTATTCTATCAATATTGTAAGAAATATTGCTAAAAATTGTGAACAAAACTGAAGTTTTATGAGCCCGAAGCTAGATACTACCTTTATACTACAGACTAGTCATCTAGATATAAATAAACGTAAATGATTTTTCCTTGTCAAATATCAACAAATATAATTTAATTGAATGTAAATTTAAGATTGGTATGTCTATTGAAAATATTTCGCGAAAAAATCGATTGATTGATCGATCGTGTTAGTTGGATTTTGTTTTTAAAAAATTTTAACATCGGAAATGTATCATTTTCGATTCTAGACTGTGATGTTATATATAAGTTAGGTATATATTGTGTATTTATTTTGTAATTTGTACAGATTAGGTATGCACTAAATTGGGTTTCACGATACACTGTAATGTTTTCTTTTTGTACCGATCTTTGAACAGATTAAAATGAAAGCACATTGTCGATTTTAGTATGGTATTTTTGTAAAAAATCAATAAAGTTGTTTATACTTATTTAAAATTGGTTTTCTTTTTCTAATGTTTATTCAAAGTTAGTAAATTTATCAGTTGGTTTTGCTATTAGTCACACACTAATACAAAATAAAGGAATAGGAAAGTAAACTACACTGTAGTATATAATATACAGGAATAGTAGTTTTTAAAAGTTTTTAAAATTCTTTACAGCTTTTCTTTTGTTCAAATATCATTTTCTTTCTGTTTATGTTTGTCTTTATTTCGTCAATAGCTTCTTCTGTTTCTCTCTATAAGCAATGCTTGTTCAAGCGACGGATCAATACTTCTATGGAAGGTTATCACTTTATCTTTTATATAGATATAATAAATTATATTATACATAGTTCTTATAGTGGTGATTTTTTATTTCTTGGTCATCTTTTGATTTTCTCCTCCATTCTAATAATGTCCATAGGTTCCGTAAGTTGTTCTACTATTTGGACTTAATCTTACTGTTTTATTACATATTTTCAATAATTTTTATGATGCAAGGAATACTCTAATGATTTGTTTTGTGATAAACACTGCATTTACACCATCTTACAGTAAGAATCAGCCGTGTTGATCATCTGATAAGCTCATCTTCTCATTTATTTGTTCTAACAAAATTTTAGTTGAAAGTATCAAAGCGATATTTTTTGGTATTATTACCCAGCGCTAATGTATAAACATTTACAAGTTAAGTCTAATAATTTTCTAATACAACGTCAAAGAGTCTATGTTTCACTTTATTTCTGTTATCCTTTTTTTTCAATAGATACTGTTTTTGTCTGTAAGTATTCTTCTTCTTGTACCCAGCTCGATTATCGTGCGTTGGCTATCAAATTGGCTATACTAACTTTGATGACGGCAGCTCTGAAAAGGGACGCAAAGGATCTGTTAATCCAATCTCTCAGGTTTTAAAACCATGATGTTCGTCTTTGACATGGCCCTCTTCCATCTATCCTCTTCCTCTTTTATTATTAAATAACATATATTATATCTCTTTGGGTGACGCATAACATAGCCAAAATATTTCAGTTTTAGATTTTTGACTGTTCTGGCCACTTCCGTAACTTTTCTCATCCGCTGCAAAACAACCTCGTTACGAACTTTATCTGCACAGCTTATTCGCAGATTTCTCCGATACACCCAGATTTCAAAGGCTTCAAGTTTTCTTAGAAGCGTATCTGTTAAAGTCCAACCTTCGACACCATATAAAAGAATAGAGAAAACATAACATCTTAATAACGTAATTTTCGGTCTTAATTATAATTTCTTTGTTCATGTCCCAGTTTTCACTTAGATTAAAATCAAGATAAGTAACGTTGTTGGTTCTCTCCAGCTGTTCTCCATAAGCTGTTATTACTTCTGATTGTATTGGCATTTTACTGACAACCATTACCTTTATCTTTGTGGTGTTTAGCTTTAGTTTATATTCATCACACATAGTGGTAATCCCCTTAATCAGATGTTGAACATTTTTGTAGCTATTGGCTATTAATGTCATCCGCGTATCTCAAATTATCAATATTGATGTCATGACTTTTGATACTACATGGAATACTATCCAATGCGTTATTGAAACCACCTCCGTTAAATATTAGTGGAGACAAAATGCAGCTCTGTCTTACTCCTCTTCGTATTTGAAGCCTAGCTAACAACAAACTGTGGTCAGATGGAAGATCGGCACCAGAAAAGGTTTTTACAGATTTTACTACATTTCTGTAGCGTTCAGCGATAGTTATGTAATCAGTTTCATTTCTTACAATATTACGAGGGGTATCTGCTGGAGATTTCCACGTATATAATCTCCGTTTGGGTAGTTTGAAATAGGTATACATTATACATAGATTATATTTTTGCTAAAATCTGCGAAATGGTGTCCTCTTTCATTTCTATCGCCCAGTTCAATATTTTCCAATAATGTAACTTTCTCTGGCTTTTCCTATCTCTGAGGGTCACTTATCAGAATGGTGAGGTTTCTAGTCTTAAGTTGTTCAGTAACAGTTTTTACAACTGTGTAGAAGTTCTTCTAGTTCATTTTCCGCTGTCGGTGTATACACTTATATTAAATTTTAGTTTGTGGGTTTCGCGTTCAACTGAATCATTATAACTCGTTCAAATACCTGGAATACACTAATACATTTGCTAACCTTAATCTTAAAAATATGAATCCTACACCATTACGATGATAATTACTGTCTTCTCCTGAATAATATACCATGATTATCCACATTGCATATACCTACCCAAAATTTATCAGTCAGTGTTCTCATCTCATTTATGGCATGTATTTTTCCGGATTTATATAAACTCCGCATATTCCCTGTGCCTATTCTACTATTTATTTCGACATAAAATTTGTCTGTAAGTAGGTACGCTTTTTTATTAAGATCAGAATCGACAGAGATCAAATTGTTATCAAAGAGATTTCTAAAATTATTTCTAAGAACGAACGAACCAGAAATGATCAACGGCGTGGAGATGCATAAGGCAACGGGAAACCAATGCATTAAAAGTTCAAAGGACATCCCTAGTTAATTATCATGATAATTAATTATCTAACATTAAACTGATCATAAAACTCGAAAAACAAGAATGTAAATAAGGCCTATGTCGTCAACATACCAATATGCAAAACCTTTCAAAGTACCGACTTTGTCAATATGGAATGATATAAGTCTACATTGTTCTGGAAAAGTGCATCATGCAGTTAAAGAAATGGAATGACTAAATATACATATATTAGGAATCAGCGACGTCTAATTGCTGGAAAGATGGATCCAGGAAAGATGAAAATTTACAATAAAACAATATATTATTCGAGAAATCAAGATGGTTCACATGGATATGGTGTCGGGATAATACTAAACAAAAACATCGATAAAGCCGTAGTCAATTTTACTACACACTCAAACAGAATTATACTCATACGATTAAACCAGAATAAACCCAAAAAACATACAAGTTTATGCTCCAACTGCAGACAAATCAGTGAGCGATATTAATACATTCTACAAGGACATAGACAATATTTTAAAATCCATTAAAATGCAGTATGTTACAATTATAATGGGAGATTTTAACGCAAAGACTGGGAAGAAAATGTAGAAAAATGTGCAGGAGGATACTGCCTGGGAAACAGAAACGAAAGGGGTGATACGTTTATCTAATTTTGCCAAAGCAATATGTTGGTTATAGTAAATATATTGTTTACACTGTAAAAGAGAAGACTGTACAGCAAAAAGTCACCAATCTATCAAGAATGCAGATTTGTAAGACACCAAATGAACTTCCTACGTAATAGAGAAAGAAACAGGAATGCAATTATATAAGCGAAAATATATCAGAGTGCCGACACAGGATTAGATCAAAACTCAGTAACGATCAAAATGAGGCACAGAATGAAAATAATACTAAAACTAGGTATTATTAAACAAGATAAACAGTTTTTGTGCAAAATATGGACTAAAAATGAATATGAAAAAGACCAAATATCTAATATCAAAGAAAACCAATATGCAAACGAACATACATTTGGGAGATGCACCGACAGAAAGGGTTGAAAAATACAAATACCTGGGAACCTGGATTTTAAAAAATATTGATCAAACAACAGAAATAAGGGTCAGGATAGAAAAAGCAACAATTACGCTTGTATAAATGAAAACAATTCTCTGCAATAAAGACCTCAGATTAGAACTGAGAGTAAGAGCTCTGAAATGTTAAGTGTTAACGATACTACAATATGGACTTGAAAGCTGGACACTAACACAAGAACACAAAAAGAAGCTATAATCATTTGAAATCTAGTGCTACAGAAGAAGCTTAGAATATCATTAACACAGAAGAAAACAAACACGAAAGTAGCGAAAAATGGGCAAAGAATACGAAATAATAAAAATACATTAAAATTAAGAAAGTTATAGTATTAGGGACACGTAATGAGGGGACAGCGATATAAAATGCTAAGATTGATAATGCAA